CTCATCCCAACTCTCCATCAGCCTGAAATTTCTATGTACTTCTGAAACAGCAATCACAATTAAGCCTCACCTCACATGGAAAACAGCAACACAAGAAAATCAATAAACATGGGAAAGCACCAAAAAAACCCCCAAAAAACCAACCAAACAAAAAAAAAAAGCTGTGACAATAACAAAAACAAGAGAGAAAGAATATATATCTCCCAGTGCTCCACCCACACCAGGCGTCATTTTTGCAGAACATTCTACTTCCTCTCTGCAAGCCCATTATATTTGATATAAATCAGGGTGAAAGGAAAAATTCTTCCTCTTTAAATCTTAAACATATCGTGGGCCAGCTCAAGACTGATTTGTCCCAAGGGGAAGGGGTGACATCCCTCACTGACCTGGGACTGTGGAGGGACAGGAGTGATGTTTGCAACATGACTGGAGATGGGTAGGATGTTCAGTTGGTCATCAATCACCAGGCAGTTCTTGCAGGAGGCCAGAGACAGGATGAACCTGAGCAGGAAAGCAAAGGCAGCCCAGTAAAAACTCCACTTTTTGGTAATTGTTTCAAACTCTTTTCTAAACAAAGACAATTACAGGTACTTAGAGCTGAGCTCCAAGTTCACCAAAGCAGCCAAAAAACCCTGTTCCAGTGCAAACTTATAAGATGTTTTCCTATTAGGAATACATGATGTTCCTCATGCTTTTCTGGGCCAGATAGCCCAGACCCTTTCCACTCTCAGTAACTCACCTCTCATTAAACCTTCCCACCACATCCTGGTGTGCCTCTGTTCTGTATCGAGAGTGAACATCCTGAAACAGAGAGAAGACATCCCTCTGGAGAAGGAACAGCACTGACAGTGACATCTGCAAGACTGTGACTCATGGTACAATCCATCTTTTCCACTCTTGTGGATCATAGCCTCCCTTTCCATCCACAGCACGCCCCAGACAGAATCCTGATTTCCTGTTTGCTGTGACACACCCACATTTTCCAAATACTTGTTAAAAATGTACTTTTACTACTAATACTTTTATTTATTCTGGCCTGACTTAAAGGTCAGCTCTGCCAGAATTTATCAAACACCCTGGGGATGCAAAGAAACAACATTCTATCACTTTAATTCACCCACTGCTTAGTAACAGAAACAGCTCCTGCACTAGGTGTAAGTATACTCAGTGTGAATATAATTCCTATCTGGAAATACATAGTAGTTGTGAAGCTGATCTCACCAAGCAATAGGTCACAAAAGACCTGTTTTTTTTAACTTAAGTTGCTGATACATGGGCGGATAGAATAAATACTTTTCAAAACTATTGTGGAACTAAAGAATACAGTTATATTTGTGAATGGCAGGTGTTTCTTCCTTGCAGTTCCTTCCTTCCCAGCAGCATTTCAAGGCAGAAATGCCTGAGCATAAGACATTCAGTCAGAGGTGACTGAAAGACCATAAAGGGAGATCAGAGCCCATAATAAAAGCAATAACCACTTGGCATCATCACAATGCAAAGAAAACAGACACATCACATAGAACGTGCCATGGTCATTGTGTACAGCTGCTTCAGGGAGTTCATTGTTCTCAGGAGAATCACCACAATTCCACCACCTTCCACTGTTTCAACAGTTCTGGCCAACAGGTTTGGAGTCAGGGCTTCAAAATCCTAGGGAATAAATAACATTTCAAAGTTGCCTGGAGTTCATCAGTCCTACTGGAAGGCAGAGAAAGCCTAAAAATATTATTTAATTCACACTTAACATTTGCATTAACAAATGTCCTGTTAAAACTTCTACCACCAAGGCCACCTCACCCTCACAGAACTTGTAAAATTGGAGTAACAAAGCAACAAATACTATTCCTGCAAAATTTAAATTAATCAATACCAGAGTAATGTCCTTTTTGAGTCCAAAGTTGAAGTCCTCACCTGAAGGACACACATTCCAAAGGTGTTCCCAAGAATCTTGTGGGTTTCATTGTAGTAACAGTAGCGAATGTTTGTGGCTGCTATGAACAGCTCAAAGGGATCATCATCCTTTATGTTTAAAGTGCCACTCTTAATCTTCTTCTGGAGTTGCCTCATCCTCTTCTTCCTGTGGCTGGAGGACCAAATCACACAGAAGTTTTCTTGGAAAAAGGTTAAGTTCAAGTCTCACTGGAAGTCAGAGCCCAGTCCTGAATATTGCTGAGGTTAAAAAGGTGAGGGACAGATTAGTCCAGGGCAACAGATTAAAGTTAGAGCTACAGAAAGAAACCAGAGGTACCAAGTACTGGTGCCAAGTGCATTATGGAAGCCAAATTTAGTTTTGGATAAGGAAACACACGAGGTTTCTCTTACCTGCTGAAGCCCAGCTCCTTTTTGTAACACCACAGGACGGAGGGCCTGGCCTTCACCGTGGCTTTGGACAGCATGTGATGCAGGATCACCACCTGTCAGAAACAGAAACGCTCATTAACAAAATCAAAGAGTAAAATATCTGTCCATATTTTATTTTATAGCTACGTTTTCTACTGTGCAAAACAAGGATCCTGTGATGTGTTGAGAAGACGACCTTCCTTTACACAGTCCTGTGTGTCTGTGCCTTCTCCAGGGCTGCATGACATTGATTTATGCCCAGTTTTCCTTAGCTGTCTTTGGCAGAACTGCTAAAAACTGCTCTGACAGAAGGAGATTATTCCAGGCTAAATATAATTCCTAGTATTTGTATCTTACAATGGATTTTCCACAGAATATTTTAGTATTTCAGTGAAAACACTGTACACAACCAGACTTGGGATATGCCTTGACAGACCTTACCCATCCACCTCACCAGTAAATTAATGACAACTTTCTTGTACTGCCACCTGATCCACTCCTTATTTTCCAAGTTTTTTTGTAACTAAGTTACAAATCCCCTGGAGGATGTGGCACTTGGGGACATGGGTTGGTGATGGGCATGGCAGTGCTGAGGGAATGGTTGGATTCAGTGACCTTAGAGGTCTTTTCCAGCCTGAACAATTTTATGATTCTATGACCTGACTTATCCTAAAACATCACGGTTTTGCCGTGCTGTTCTTCCCTCTCCCCCAAGAAAAACACAAGCCTAGTCTCCGAAACGAAGCGAGTTTGGCAATCACTTTCTTCCATACGACGCTACCAAGTGGGTTCATCTGCAAGACCATTGAGTACATAAAGCACGTTTTGAGCCCAAAACCATCGCGTCTCACGGCAGAGCTGACACAGGGAAGAAAGCTCCCGCCGGCCAGAAAATGAAAGATACTTTCCCCAAGCTAAAGTAAATAAATGAATAAACAAACAAACAAACAAATTAATACGATTTACCTGTCCTGGCTCCTGCTGGCCAGAAAATTAAATATACCTTCCCCCAGTTTAAAGTAGGTAAATAAATAAATAAATAGATCCGATTTGCCTGTCCTGGGTTTTATTGGATGCTCATGAGCTTTCTCAGACCGATGTCTAAGGGCAGGGTCTCTAAAACCCGTTTCTAAACCCCGCGCGTGATACTGGCGGGTTTAAACCCCGCTGCAGGAGGGAGAAGCCTGTGCCGGGGGATTAGGGAACCCCCGGTTCGGTATCACGCCCCACCCTCCCGGTAACTCCGGGGCAGCGTTACCTGGTCCTTGCCGCGGTCTCCCACCACCACGAACAGGCTGCGCTGCCGCTCGGCCACGCCGTTCTCGATAAGCACGCGGATGCGGTTGTCCACCTTTCGGCGCTGCATGGCTGCGGGCCTCCCCGAACCTCCCCCGGCTCCCGATCCGTTCCCGACCCCAGTCCCGCTCCCAGCGCTCCCAACGCACCACGCGGGAGCCACGTGTGGCAGAGCGCGGGCGCCGCGGCCGCGGGAGGACCCCGGGGCTGCCCGCGCCGTTCGCCTGCGCCGCACACCCACACAAACATCTCTATTTCTTTTTTTAAAGTATAATAATTTAAGGTAATTTTCTACACGGGAAAGCCGCAGCGGAGTTGAGGAAGCACACACACTGGAACTACGCGCACTCCTGTGGCCAACCGGCTCCCAACAGCCCTCACAGACATACACCAGCCCTCACCTCTCACAGCTATTTTTGGTTTATTTCGGTGGGGTTTGTGTTACTCGCTGTAAAAAGGGGATGAAACCAAACTCCAGCCGCAGTGGCAACACCCATTTTATTTTTTAAATCTCTTGTTCTACAGGAATCTTGCTTGCAAACCCCAAAGACTATGTTCCCCTGATTTTATAAAGATATTTCTTTTCCACCCACTGCAGTCCTACGTGAGCCAGACACTGAGTCTGGATGGCCTTTGGGACAGCAGAGAGGAAAAACAAAAAATATATACATAAAAGGGCATCTGGACACAGTTTTCCCATGGAAACATGACCACAGAAAACAAAACACACATATAGAAACTAATAAACCTTTAGGATACATAATTATCTGATACCAAACCATGAAACCCCCCGAAATGTTATTTTGCTCCTCAATAAATCTAGGTAGAGCTTATAACACTTAAGCTCTACTGTTTAATAAACTCATCTCATTAGTTTTACAGTCTTCTATATAAAATCCCAAGTTGCAAAACTGTGGACCTTCAACGAAAAACGATCAACCTGACTTGAAATTTCAGCGAGTTTTCAGAAACATGACATTGATTCTCAACCTGACAGTAAAACTATTCCTAACCTTTCAATACCAAAGTTGAGCCAAGCTACTTGCATAGATATATTTATTCTTAGCTTTTAATACTGCCAAAATTTGGGTTTTAACTTGAACATTTGAACAATGAAGCATTTAAAACCAGGTAACATCATAGGAAAATTTTGTTTAATACCACTGGATGTATTTTGGGGATATTTGTTTTAAAATATAACAAAAATATGATAAAACTACTGAATTAATCATAATAAAGGCTTAGAATAGTATTTTTTTAGGTGAACCCAGACAGACCCCATCACTGAGACAAAATCACCAATGAAGTGTAGCAAGACAATTCCTTAGCGTATAGGTACGAAATATTTGCTTGAAAGGACATAAAACATTTAAATAGATTTATTTTTCAAGTGTTTACATAAGCCATGGACCAATTGGTTTCCAACGCTGAGTTTAAGAACTGCAAAGTCATATATACAGGTATGTTTAAGGCCATCAGAAAACTTAAACCTGACAAGAAACTAAAACTCTGAACACTTATTTTATATGGTAGAAGCATTGCTAAAATTTATTCTAAAACTGGAGAGCTTAAAAAAAAAAAAGAAAATACATTTTCATTTAATAAAAGTCTAATGGATAATGACTAAAATTTAGCTTGAGACCAAAATTCCAGGTGTACTTTGATTCACTATTTGAACACATTTTATAGAAATGAGAACTGAGCCAGTTACACCCATATCATTGTTTTATGGACATTAAAAAGTGAAGGGAAACAGAGCATGGCTTTTAAAATAACAACTGCAGCAAGAGCAAACAATAAATTTAATTCAGAACCAAATGTGAAGTTAGGCTGAAGTTTTCCTAATACAGTTCTCTTATGTGCTGCTCAGAGTGGCTTTAGGATGTGGATTTTGGAAAACAGATTTCCTTCCCTCCATTAAGGCTAAACCCAGAGAGCCACAACTAATTTTAATAGCATTATATTCAAGAATTGAATTTTCAAGGATTGAAAACTTTTCCTGTCCCATCCACATGGAAAGCAGATGGAATATCATTGAAACACATTTTAGAAATTAAGTCTAATTCACAGTGACAAACCTCAGCTCCAGCTACAAATTTGTGTCTTCAAGCATCCATTTCCATCTTTGCAAACACTTTAACCAAGAAGTTTCACATAAGCAAGAGAGATAATGTGTTTTTATCCAAGATGGATCCAGCAGCCTCATTACCTGGGCTGGTTAATGAGTTCTTGAGTCCCCCATTATATCCACAGATTTGTTTTTAATAATATGAAGTTCAACCACTTTTCAGTATCATTTCTCATCTTTTCAGTATTTATCTACAGTTAAAACCTCTTCAGTAACTTCTCTCCAAAGTAGTCACTCAAATGCCACTTGGGGAAAGAAGGAAGCTCGATCCATTCTCCAAAGACCTGTAACACAATCAATCTGCCTCAAAAATAAGGTCAGCAGGACATTCTGAGAAGACACATTAAGGTCCCAAAGTTCTCTGAGTTTCAAATCCCAGCAGAATACATTTATTGGTTAAAACAAGAAGCCAACAATCCTCTTCCAACTACTCTGATTGCTGAGATGCAAAAGGCAGTATCTTGGAAAGAAAATAGGAGTTAAGTGAAGTTCAGAATGCTCCACAGCAAAATCCCTAAGTTGTACAGTGTTCTTAATATATGCAGGAACAACAGAAGTAAAATTCAGGACAATGGCCTCAAGTATGAGACAACAGCTCTGATTTCTAAGTTTTTAAGTTTTAGGATGTCCAGGAAGAATCCGAGTTCCCCAAACACAGTAACAATAGGTATAAACATCTGAAGTAATTGAGTGATGAATACTATTTGCTCAAGAAACCTTGAATTACAGCCAAGAAGTAGCAAGAGGCTGAAGGCAGAGGTTTGTTCTCAAACACACCCCACTGCACGTTATCACAGCCCAGATAACGAAGGCCCTGCCAAAATAAAATTCTTAGGGTAGCTGTATATGCAAGAAGGCAGCCAGAACTAGGCTCCAATTCTCCCAAAAACACTTCTTGGAAGAATCAAGTAAAACCACCAAAAAGGTGCAACTGCTGCGTGTACCTGCAGGCTCAGACACAGCACTGTGTTATCCTCACTCTTTCCAACACAGGATGTTTCCCCATAGGATAAACAGCTCATCCTGGGCTCTGCAATAGAAGCAGCCTCGAAATCCCACCACTTTGCCTCACGATTAACTTCTTGTAACAGTCTTGGTCAAGATATGACCTTTTTTAAAGGAAACATACCTAGGAATGCTCACGATCAGGGTGGGACTCAGACTCAGAGCCAAGCTACAGAGTAAGGAAAACCTGGAGCTCCCCTGAACAGGCCAGAAAAACAGTGAGTGGACCCGTGTGCCACAGGGTGACCCCAGAAGAGCTTTCGCTAGAGTTTATTAGATGAGATTAAAGGAGTCAGTGCAAATTCCCAGCTTAAACACCTCTCATGGACTTGTTCCTCCTCTCCCAGAAAACAGCAGAGCAGCTGCTCTAAAGGCTGTTCTCACACCAGAAAACATTTACAAACTTGTCAGGAGGCCCCTTAACTACCCAATGTTTTATTTTAAGTTGGAAAGAAACCCCAAACCAACCCCCAAAACTTTCAGTGGAATGTTCTGATCCATTCAGGAATCTTTAATTCAATATGCTGCATGTTTACTGCCCAACTACAATCAGCTACTTAAGAAGCATTTGGTGTGCAATGGGAAAAGCTGAACAGCTTGTGTTCTACCAACCATTTAAACAGGAAGCTGATGCACAAAAAAAGAAAAAAAAATAATTAAAGGAATTCACTGTTTTCCTACATCAGTTCGACATTAAAAGGTTTGTCTTTTTATTTGTTTCCAGTTAAAAAACAGTTGGGACTATTATCTCAGTAATAACCTCCTAAAAAAGACACAGAACAGCAACTTCTCCCCGGCTGCAGTTTTTGGATTGTGATACTGGTACGGAATGTTTTTAGGCCTTGACTCAAACTGCTGCTCCCAGACATCAGCACCGTTTCAGGATGCCTGGTGTGGAATATTGTCTTCACAAACTTATCACTTCCCGCTGCAAAACCATTTTTCATTTGTGCTCTTCACATAGGACATGGAAAAGTGAGATCATCACCTATTTGTATGGAGTTCCAGGTTGTTCCACCACGAAGTCAAAACATCTGACTGCAAGTTCTGAAAGTTCTGAGTGAAAACAACCTTGAGTTTTGTATAGAACAGTTAAACAACACGCTTGCTGTTCCTTAATTTCACCTTTCCACAGGCAGGAATTATTTGATGAGCAATATTTAACATAGAGTATATAGCACTTTTCTTCTTGCATGTGCTACAGAATGCAACAGAACTACCAACACCTCTATGGAGGCAGCATCAAAATATTCTCCCCGCTGCAGAGAGAGTGCATGTGCGCAGAAGGCAGGCACAAGTGATTTTTCCAAGGATTATACCACAAGGATGCAGTAAAACTTGAGTAAGACTTGTTATTTTCCAGCTCCCAGGCTTATGCCATTGCTTTTATACATCGCTGCCTTGACGAAAAGGAAAAGTCCATAAAAATAAAGGTTTCCCAGAAGTCACAGCTAGTAGAGTAAAACCAGGAAAACAGGAGGAGGGTTTACATCTAGTCAGGAAAAGAGACTATTAGGGAGAAAAAAACCCCAAACAAATAAAAAGCCTTATGAAATGTCACCCCATCACATGGAATCTGTTTCAGTTGTTGAAAACCAGTGTTCCAGGATACAATTTTTATAAACATGTTTTATTTGTCTTGCTTATACCATTAGAACTGTAACTGCTGGCTGTCATTTCCCTTCAAAGGGGAAATCAACTCAAACACATACTGGTGCTTTTCAAAAGAGAGCAATTAAAAGGGCAGCAGCAGCAGCGGGCATTTGAGATTTCTTCAAACCTTCAAGGCTGCAGGAAAGACAAAAGGACATGTGACCAAAAGTGTTATGATTATCCATTAGAGATTTCCATCAGTACCGGCATCAGTTATTTAGGTGATAATACAGCAAGGTCAAGTATTAGTGACAGACAATGTGCAAGTCATAAGGAATGATAGAGAATACCAATCCTTACAAAAGTCATTGCTATCAAAGGAACTTAAAAGTGTTTCAGAGAGATACCTAAATACTTCACATCAAATATACAGTGGCCATCCAGATTATATCTCACATTTGTTGCAAAATTTTGTTGAAATGCCAAATCAAAGCTTTGTTTTTGGGGTTTTTTTTCCTTTTCTCCTAAAAAAAACAGTTACACAGTTACATTAGCAGTTATGCAAGCGCTCTTAAATCCTTAGCCACAGGAATCAGGGCCCTGGTGATGAGGAGGCTGCAGCTAAGGGTGCTTCTTTGTCAAAAACTGGCTCTAAGCCCATCTGTCTATTGAGGGCAATTGCATCACGACACATCTTTAACTGTTCAGTGCTTCAATTTAATAAGAAAAAGCTGAAATGCAGTTGCTCTACCAAGCCACACTTCACCTTTTCCATCCTTTCATGGGCACATTAAGTTTTGTCAACTGCCACCACAGTAGATATTTATGAATTTGCAGATTTTATCCCAATTTGTTAAATTGCTTTTAAATGTCAGAAGTGAGTCTTTACTTTTTTCCTGCCACTTCAATTAACCATGGAGATTGGATCACCCTGGAAATTGCCTTTTTTTTTTGCTTTACTCTTAGCAAGGGTGAGGAATCTGAATCTCATGTGCAAGGCTCAAGATGATGCTTAGGACAGAACATGCAGAGTAAACGCTGTTTCGTTCCTTTCAATATTAAGCTGGCAACTGTAGTCCTGTCATTATGGGTAATGAAAATAGTCCCTTTACAACAAACTTCCTGTAAGGGAGAACAAATAGATAATAACTCTTCTGGTAACATGTATTGTACACTGGCCAGCGTGTTTTTGGCGTTGAATGTGATCCTGTGAACGTGTTTAATTCACTTGCTGAGCGTTCATCTGAGGCATCCCTCTGTTTGGTCTTGGGGGTCCTCCACGACCTGGGAAACACAAAACAGGGGTTGAACGATGAAGTCTGAGCATTTAAAAATATTCCTAAATGTTTTGATGTAAACTGTGTAAGAATTTCTTCATTACAATTGGGCTTCCTAAAATATATGGCAATAGTAATCAAAATAAAATTTAAAGTTCAACTACAGCCTCATTATGTCTGTGGGTTTTTCTGTTTTGTTTCCTAAGGCTTTCATTAATAAAAAGCAGGTAAGTAGTTCTGCTACATTTAAAGTGTCAACAGCAATTGCTGTTTTAGCCTCTTTTCCAGGAATTCCTCATTCAACAGCCAACACAACTTCCACCACAAGTTCAAAGGATCCCAGTCCAATTCAAGTCAGTAGGGTCCTCAAGAGGTTCTCCAAGACCCTGCTCAAAAGCAGGGTCAGCTCTGAGGTCAGAGAAAGTAAACTTCAATTGTGAACTGCTGAGTAAGGGGTGAGGTTGGTTTCTAAATCCAGAACTCTGGAAGTTGGATCAAAAACTTCCATTCAGCCCAAATCAATTATTCACTACTCAGGAAATTACCTCTAGGAGCTCCCCGAGGTCCACTTTGTCCAGAGCCACGTTTGAAATTCTGTTGATATCCATCCTGAGGCAAAGAAATTAAAAAAGTTATGACATAAAACATGGGCACTGTTATCAATTGCAAATAAAATAAGGAGCTTTTAAAGCAGCATACACTGACAAAACATCTGTGACTTCAACATGCAGCATTTTATCAGTCTGCATTAATCTTAGAAGAATTAGTTCTTACTTCTACTAGTGTCTAGCAGCTGTAATAAAATGTGCAATGACAAATGCTCTCTCTCCAGTTACAGGATGTGTTGCTCAATATAAATAAGAAATGTAAATACATGTATTTAGTGTTTAAATTTTTCAAACTACATGAGGTAGTTCGTGTTCATTACCAATAAAAGAAGTCCCTGGCAGAGTTTTCACTAATAGATTTGAGTGCTTTTGTTTTTTCCCCCACACTGTGGTCTCTTACCCGCTGGTAGTTTGAGTAATCCCGAGGAGCATTGAACTGGGGCTGCGTATAACCACTGTTTGGAGTGTTGGAAAAGGAAGGACGGTATCCATCATATCCCCCTAAGGAACAGGGCACAAGTCTTTCACTTGAAAATGGGAACTTACTACTTGACTTTCTGCTACTATATAAAGAAAAGCAGTAGCGGGATTTTAACTAAACCTGAGCAAAAACCCCCACCCCTTTAGCAAGGGCTTAGTTTACCTGCAAGTCAAGCAAATGTTTGCAACGTCAGGGTTAATACTATTACAAGAAACAAGAACAAAGATCTAGTAAGAACTGGGAGGAAAAAGCAATTCAGTGCATTTCTCTGGTAATCTGAGGTTTGATTTACAGAATATTCAATCCAGAACTAACCATGATAGTAGGATCTGTATCTAACAGCTGTGACTGCTGCACTCATACTACAATCAGTTGTATTTTTATTATACAGGTTTCTTCTCTATTCCCCAGCCACAGGAGAGGAAAAGAACATGGCAGATAGTACCTGTGTCCATTAATCTAATCCCAGAACACCTGACAAGGAAACCATCTCTCCCTCCCATTCTAACAATGACAGCCACATATAATCATCTACAGGAATCACGAAAATTCTCTAATTTACTCAACTACAGCGTCATTCCTCCACTCCTGTCAATTCCCTCAGAGTAGTGACTTTGACACTCTTTTGTTCTTACACTTCTACATTACCCAGTCTCTTCTGACTATGGTCAAACACAGAACTCTAAAAATACACTACTTCTACCACAAATGGAAATAAAAAACATTTTTGAACCATCAACTAGCATTTAAATTCCTCACTTGAAATTCTGTTGGGTATTTCTGTTATTTGCTTATACTTGCAGTAAATGCCTAATACATCTCAATATCCTCATAGGATATCCAAACACACATCTAAAATTTAAGTTGCTTAACTAAAGCAAGTGGGTTTTTTGCTACAAATTTCAGTATCACACAGAGATACCATTACAGTCTAACGACAGCAGGTCAGCTTAACATTTGCTACAGAGATGCACATTCAGTGAGTGCTTGTGCAGCTGCTCACCTCTGAATCCGTTGGCCGGTCCCCTGTAACCGTTCATGAGCCCCCGGGCCCCGCGAGATCCCCCACGGGACACCCCTCGGCTATTGTAGTAAGGCTGGCTGTTCCTGGGAAACCCAGTGTTCTGCTGGGGAGGCTGCTGGTGGTTGCCTGCCACCTGGTGAGTCTGGTCTGGGGATCCATGGTAAGTACCAACCACTGCAGTGCAATGGGAGGGAAAAAAAAGTAGTATTAAGTCTGTATTTCTTTATGTTCCCACATATACTCCCTTCACACTCAATATTCAGTTAGAGAGAAAAAGGACCTGGCTCTTCTTTACTCAATACCCAGTATTGTTAGCACTTCACCCCTGTTAACTCTGTCTGTCTCTGCATCTGCTACTTTCATCTCAGTGGACTCTGGATATAGACTTGATTTTTTCAAGCTGCTACCCTGGAAAGCATTTTGCCTGCTGAATTCAAACCCTCTCTCACTGATTTCACCAGAAGGTTCTAGCCCTTTGAGAACCTTTCATCATCTGTGAGAAGGAGCCCACATTTGCTCTCACTTCTGCCTTACTATTCTATCTCCTGTATAAAATGCCACCTCAAATAGCATAGTTTTTTTAAAAGCAAGTTTAAGGATCTTCCAACCTTGTACTCCGCTCTACTGCTTCCACTTTAGAATAATCATGTTCATGCTTTTTTTAAACCCACAGAAAACCCAATCAAATGGCAAAAATTCTTTTAACAGTTGGAGGTAAGATATACTGAATTTCACTCTCTGTTGGATATTCAAGCTGAGACAGTAACAAAACTTGGTATTGTCAGGGGAAAGCTTTGCAAGACTAGGAACATTTGAGAACATGTGACATGCTTTGCTCCATCCTCTAGGCCTTCACAGCCTGAGTACCTGTTCTACACTGAGGCTGTTGCCATTCTAGCTTTTGCTAAAAGAAGTTTACCTGTCTGGAGTTGTTCTTGCTGAAGATCTGATTGTTCTACTTGGTGAGGTTGACTGGAGAAACTCTGGTTGTAACTGGCCTGGTACTGATTTTGCTGCTTAAGGGTTTCTGGCTCATTAACAGGAGGAACAGGTGCATTCATGTTGAATACCTGTAATGGCAGAAAAATGGTTCTCTGGTCCAATTAATCTTTACAACTTTTCACATAAAGTATCAAAGTCTAAGAGATGTGAATAACCAGACTATTCTATGCAGCTACATGACTGATTCCAACAAAATGAATGACCACCAAAATAGACGAATTAATTATTTGATTTACTTTACATTATTTTATCTTTTCATTTATTATTATTATTTACTTACTGTTTGCATGGATTGGAATGGAGCTGCATTGACATTGATTCCGCTGCTATGCAAAGGCTTGCTGGATCCAGCCTGGAACACCTGGGGCTGGGATGCAGTGGGAAGTGATGACGAGGATGGGGTCTGGTCTGCATTCAGTGACAATGAAGCCTAAGAATGAAAAGAAAACATTTTAGAAGCTTTTGAGATACCAAAAAAAAGTGGCAATGCCTGAGCTTCAGCTCTGCAAATTACTATTTTCTACTTCAGCTCAACAGCATCACTTGCAACAGCACAATAAGAGAGGAAAAACCTTGCAGCCTTCTCCCTTGTTGACTTGAAACACAACTAGAAAAACTTAAGAAAGGAAATGTATTTCCTGGGCTAACTGTTGGCCAATGTAAAAAGCAATTCACATTTCCTAAGCCATCATCAACACCGACACTCACAAACTAATGCTGGCACGCTGAATGTAACTAAACCATCAATCTCGCAAATTAAGCCTTACTATGAAGGACTTACTGGTCACAGACAGGCTCAAAATTCTGAAATTAAAGGGAACTGGAGCAGCCCTACTAAAATGCAACTAAAACTACCGCTTTTTACAAGGAAACATAGACTAATATCGGTAATACCTGCCAGGAGAGTCCTTCCCACCCCTCTGAAACCTGACTTGGCTGAATCTGGTCAATTGATTCTTTCTGTGACCGTTGCTCTGCTGTGTGAGAAGGCTGATACATGTGTTGGGAGGCTGTATATCCCTCACTTGTAGAAGAAATCAAGGGAACCTGACAAAATAAACCCCAAAGTCCCCAAAAGTCAGCTGATGCTCACCCACAGTTTTATAGAAAGTATCTGACAACCCCCAGCATGAGTGGTACTCTCTAGTCCAAGTCTGTAGAGCTATTAAGTACCGTTTAACCAGCAGAGTTAACCACCTCATCTTGACCAACATTCTAATATGAGCTCATATAGAAGTGGACAAGTGCTGGTTTCCCATAGATTGAATCTGCTCAGTCCTCTCTGCTCCTTTAAAGAGTCCAGTGAAAACTCCGGCCAGCAAAGCAGAATACTTTGCATTTAAGGGCATGGAGATTTCAAGAGGAAACTGATGATAACTGATGGGGGTGTTCACATCATGTTGGAATGTTCAGAAGGAAAGACTAAGTTTAGCTACTGCTTGTAAGATCCTCAAGAGAATCATGGGCAGCGCTGGCTGAGATAAGGAAAATAAATTTAAAAAAAAAAAATCCCACTGGATTAAGTCACAGATATCACTTAAAAGTAAAATAAAAGCCAGTGCACAGAAAACCCTCTGCCAAAAGAAATTATTCTACGCCTACAAAACAACAAAAGGGGAGAGCACCAACACTTCAGGAGGTACTTACAGAGGAAACTCATGAAAAAAACCTCACTCCTGTTCCTGTATGAATGAGTGACTTAAACCTTGCAGCTCTATCTGGACAGGACAAAGCAGCCAATTTATACTGCCAGTACTCTGAGATAAAGAAGCTATCCAGATTTCTCCTTTGGCTTTCAAATACCTACAGGGATCACACCCATTCCTCAGAGATGCCACACACAGCTTAATATAAAATGAGGAAGTTCTTTAATCACTAGACAACTCAGTAAGAAACTGAAGCATCTTCACAAGAAGGGGACCATTTATACAGTACAGAATCAAGTTTAAGAGGCCCTACTTAAAGCTCAACTGAAAATACCATTCAACTCCAGTATAAAACACAACCCAAAAAGTAACTGGGAATAATCCTTAACAGAATAAGTGAATAAAACTTTAAATCTATTCCTGCTGACACTCACTTGAACAGACACAGGCTGCCCTTTAACTAAGTTATTTTGGTTTTGGCCTTTCTGTTGCAAATAAATAAAGGACTACCTGCTTCTAGCTAAATTACAAGTATTACTACACATGACTTAACATCAAAGGGAACACTACTAGGCAAAGGTAAGACTCCATTACTGACAATCTGCAATGTCTGCAGAGCACAGAATCTGTACCTAGTAACGCTTCTGAGCAACAATGCTGAAGAAATAATGGAGATAACCAATTTCCCAAAATTAGAACTTTAACTTTGAGTTTCTCATACAGTTAGGAATTAAGTCCTTTTGTAACAGTAATCAGGCTGAATATAAAGCTCAAATCCAAAATAAAGTGTACTAAACATTTTACCTGTGTAGCTTCTGGTTGCACAGGAACTTGAGTAGGCTGGGCAAGTCTTGACTCAGCATGAACTGAAAGAAAATAACTTCACTTACTATACAATCAAACCTTTTACAGAACAGCATTACTATCATATCTGCTTCTGTTATCTGAAAGCCAACCATCATAAGATGATGAAGCCTTTAGCATGCTAAAGCTATACTCAAATTACCAACTCCATGCAAAGAACATTTTTTCTAGTTGTCCAAAATAATCCAAAGTAAAATTGTATTTTGCCCATTAAAAAAAAATGTTTCACATGTTCCACATTTCTAAGCAAAACCTATAAGCAAGTGAGAACTAGAAGACTAAAACTAGTGTACCTTTCTGAGAAAAACACACTTGACCAGGATTGTACCATTACTTGTGGTGATCCTTTTACTCTGCAGCAGTAACTGAAGCATTTTTAACAGATGACTTGCAGGCTTCCCCAATATTTATGTTTAGGATTTACCATTACAAACCTGGAGGGCAAACCATTTGTGGCATGTCCAAACTCTGTGCTGGGTTCATGGGCTGTGCAGATACAATGGCAGGATCAAGTGTTTGGTTCTCAAATTCCAGCATGGAGTCCTGAAGGGAAAAAATTAAAAAGCAATTAAAAAAAAAAAATCAAATCCAATTTACTGTCTGTTAATAAAAATACGAGCACTCAGAACAGAGAAATACCTGCATGAAGTTGTAGGGGCCCTGCATCTGTGCCATGAGGTCCTGTACTCGCTGTCTTCTCACCAGAGGATCTGCCTGAGCCACAGTGGGGAGCGTGTGAGGTTCAGGAACAGGAGGAGATGTCGCTTGTGTCTGTTGCTGCAGCGAATTTACGACCTAACAAGAGACAAGCAACCAACTCAAATTTCAGCTCCAGTCAACACAAAAGTGACTTGGTAGTTCTTGGAATTTATGGCTATTGCCTAACTCATTATGGATGGAATTACTGTAGTGATGTTGAAGAAAAGTACTACATCCTACAGTCATGCCAAGTATCAGCGGCAGCTACTAATCTCAGCAGTCACAGGATTATAGTGCTGTTTTCTCTCCATCTACTCTTTTCCCCATTAATAAAACGTTTGTTCAATACTAGGGGGATTTTTTATAGCAGGATTTGAGACAGCTTCAGAAATATGCACAAATGGGGAACAATTATTTTTAGTAAGTGCAAGTGGAGTCAGAATTTTTGGGTCTTTTTTAAGACTTCAAAATGGTCAATTTTCATAGCCACTTTTATCCTAGCAAACTGATTTACTGTCTCAGGGAACAGCAGGCAGCATTGCATGACGAAGATTGCAAGGCAGCACCATGGGGGGACACCAGAAGCCCAGAAGCAGAAGCACAATTCGCAGTGGGCAGGAAAGCTCAGATTTACCAGACAGATTCCAATATGGCAACACATCAAATGTGCAACAAATACCACCTTATCAGAGACAGCAGAGCCACCAGGAAAGCTGGACATGAGCAGCTGAGAACATCCATCATCAAAGAGTTTGAAAACAAACAGCAACCGAGGACAGTTGAGCTGCACAAAGGAGCACTTGGATGTCCCTAAACCAGTTTTGCTTTGAGCAGCTCCCAGAATACAGAAGTGCCCTTTTCATGTCAACAAATGTCCTTTAAAAACACCATTGTCAATAACTTGTCTATCACTTCTCTATTCCCATGAGCTTCTAATATTAATAATCTTCCAGATAAACAGGAATGCCTTAAGCCTACAGTTGCACAGGATATAAATTAGGATACATGCACCTGAAAGTTCAAAATATCTATGTGAAATACTTGATTTCTCATTAGAACTGCAGGAGACACTTTTCTACAGTAGTTGGGACACATGACAAACCAGTCCTATTATCACAGGTCTGAACTTTAAACTTCAAATTGCCACTAAAGCCTGTATATTTTTTTATTTAGGTTTCTCAAAGAAACACACAGCATCTTCCAGTATTCCTAATTCTTGCTCACTCTTCCAAACCTTTTTTAGATATGACATTCTGCACATGCAATTGCCTCAACTCCAGTAACTTGATCCCTGACCAAATCCCTAGCCATCTGTAACAGAAAATATCAACAAAACTAAAAACTATCCACAACCTATAGTCCCTTTTCAAGATTCCCTTCAGATCCAAATCACTGCTATTAGCCATCCACAGAGAAGCAATTTGACAAATCCCATGTAAGTACCAAGGCACAACTGCTCTGGTCTATCACACAGTCCCCAAGTTTCACAATCTTAACTGTTTCCAAATAAAGAAATAAAAAATTATCTCAAAATGTTATTCAGATCACATATAGAGACCTTTGGCACATTACAGAGTTTGAAAGTCAAAGAAAAAACACAAGCCAGATCACTTGGTGAAACTTGAGTTGTAAAACCATCAGCTACTTGTCTTCTGCAAAATTATTACCAAAAATACTCTCGATTATTTAAGCACTATCATTAAACTTATGTAAGTCCAAGTCATTCATAACAATCCAGTATCTTCAGGACAAAAATACAAGCTGATGGAATCGTCAACAACACACAACAGGGACAAAATGTTATCATTTTCCTTTTTCACCAATAGTACAGTAGGAACTTCAGATGGTGCTTCAGATTCTAGATCATCTTTTTCATCACTCCTCTTTTAATGTCAAGAGGAATCGTTTAGGGCCTATTCCTTTAGTCTCATCAGCACCACCAGGTACTTTGACCTAGTACAATCATAATAGGATGAGACTGCTAAATAAATTTCAAGATGAGTGTGTTCAGTTGCCAATGGACAGTTCTAAATTTAACAGCTTTCTAACAGTGCTGCATGAAAAGGTACAGAGATCACTCAAATAAAAGGATCATTACTCAAAAATCAAATTATTCCTGGCCATGCATGTCCATTGATCCTGGGGACAGTGCAGCACAGTACAACTTTATTTCAGGAGAGTTGAACCTGTCGGCAGAATAATATTTGACTCAAATTGTAGGCTCCCCTCTGACACCCTGCCCTTGACACTGGCAGCAGAAAGAGCCACCAGACACAATCAGGAGACTGACAGGGGGAAAGGGAAAACCTTCCCTTAATGAGACCACAGACCAACCAGAATGAACTCGTACTCTGGCAGTCTGAGAACAGGTTCCAATTTGACAAAAAATCCATCCAACCAACGCTCCATAATTTAAGACAGAATTTTGCATACAAACAGATTCAGGTTATTCCTTATTACAAAGAAAGCACTTAAAAAAAAAATCAATTAGAAGCCCACCAAACAACAACACAAAACCCCATAAATACTATTACCAGTAAAGGACATATTCACCAAAATGAGAACATCATATAATCCAAATACACTTGGAAAATTCACAAGCAAATTCTTTAATTCAAAACTTCAGAAGGCCCATACAAAAAATGTCCTGTGAGACACCATCACTTCTCAAACTACAAACATACCACAGAAATCGTGACTGTATCCCATCTACTGAAAAAGATGAGTTTATGATATCCTTCCTCCTCAGGAACAACTATGGAGATTTTCTGAGCAAATGTTCTCTTTCAGCTTGCAAAATTCCCAGCTATCACTCTATTAATGCCACAACCATCTTGAGCTGAAGAGCACAAAAGCTCTATACATTGTGCACCATGAGCTTCCCTAAGGACAAGTCAGTTGAATTCCCATGAGAAATTGGACTGTGATGCCAGTAAAGGCAGTAAAACCAATGTCAAAGGCAGATATTCTCAATTTCCCCGTTTATGTTACATCTGAGAAAATAAGGTTCTTAATTACAGAGAAAGTCTTCAACTCTCCATTTTTTACATGATTCCTTTTTACAATGTCCAAGATACTGGGACAGAAAGGACAACCTCAGTGTATATTCTTTGTACTGTTCTATGAAAACAAAGCTCAGACAGTGCAGACTTAGCAGACTAGTAAAGATGCATGAAAAATGAGGAGCTTCTGAAATCTGAGATACAAATTTACAACCTGAATTGCGTCTTCATCCATAGCATTAAGAACTACAGAGAACTGAGCCACTCTGGACACTTGGTGTAAACACAAATATACTATGGGTGTAATTAAGTTAGATTGAAGCCAATCAATTAATAATTTTAAAATGCTGGGCCTTTTAAGAATACTTCAACTGAGCATGACTTTTTTGTGTGGCTTGGACAGTTTCTTCAGTTTTTTAAAAAGACTTCTTAAAACACATTCAATAGCAGCGATATTTTTGGTTTAAGTAAGGGAATGGAATACTATGACAATAAACTACCAAACATTCACATCCACGGCAAAGTTGTCTGGTTAGTTCTAGAAACCTCACACCCATCCTTAGTTAAATCTTTCAGTGGTCCTGAACACCCTAAGATACAAATTTCAGCCCAACTCCATGTAAAATCAGGCAGGATCAAAACAGCTGCTCTCTTTTTCACCACAAGATGCTGAACACTTACTCCACTCCTACACTTAAAACAGCCTGAAGACACCAAGGAAGAGTCTAAAAAATTGACAACCTGGACTTTGCTGGTAAAGTGAATGAAAAAATGAAATTTCCAGCACCTGCAAGGTGCTGCTCATAATTGTTTCTAACAGATGGACACAAATCAAATTCCAACATATTAAACATTTGAATGACTCCATGGGACTTGTCCTTTCCAGCACATGAAGAACATAAATTCTAGAGCATGAATCACTAAACTGGGAATGGATCCCAAACCCAGTGTGCCACAAACACCACAAGTGAACAATCACTCAACTGCAAAGAAGTAACAAGTGAAATACTTGAGGAACTGTAGTTCTTGAAGGCAGAGACAACATACAAGCATATTTGAACATAAAATTATGCACATAAGCAACCTGAAGGAGGTTATTAGTTGAGTTACTAATTTCAGCTCCCTCTCCATGGACCTGCTCAATGAAAGCACAACTATGCCATGCTGTCAGCAGCTGGGCAGATAAACTTGAAGTTCTGTATTAGCAGCTAAGTTCTCCTAAAAAAAAGGCTTCAAAAAACTATTTCAAGTCTTTTTTTTATGCCCAAGACTTTTAAGTCCTGTTTTCCCAAGTAAGCCACTAATGAACAAAAGCAAGTTCTCTGTAAACTTAGCCAGACTGCATGAGTTTTATTTCTTTTTATTTTAGTTACTCCTGAGCTAAATATGTAATTAAAGAATGAGTGGTGAGTCCAAGCCTACTTAAATATATGTATTTTTTTTATATATTGGGGGAGAAGGGATGAAATACTAAAACCTCTCATGAATTGTGAGCCAGCAGAAACAGGGATTGCAATTTTACCTGCAGTACACAAGATCTTACCTCAACCGTTTCAACTGTCCACTCATCTACCTGTTCCTTCTCACTACTGCTGAACTGAGCCTCTGCCATGAATTGTCTGTTTACATACTAAAATAAAAATAAGAAAGGGTATGAAAGTAAAAGTAAGTGGCATTAAAGGTATACAAAATGACAATCTTTCCAGTGAATAATACCTCAGTTGATTCAACTTCAGTTGGTTCAGTAAATTCTTCTGCTGCATCAGGTTCTGTAAGAAAAAGAAATGCATAATTTATGTGGGAAAAAAACACCTTGTATGAGAAAATCAAACAAGAAAACCAAGCAAAAGACCCAAAGAGAAGACCCCCCCCCCCAAAAAAAAAACAAACCCAAACAAAAAAAACCCAACCCCAACAAACCACAACACAATCCCACAAAAACAAACAAACAGAAAAACCCCACCACCCACATATGTTACAGATCAAGAAGATACAAAATTAGATGAAAAATGCTCTTCTTGTAACTCAGAATGAAGAGAAAATGTCAGGGGCAATAACAGAGAACTAGTAATAAAAAAATAACCTCCAAGTTTTGAATTAGCAAGAAAAAGCCCACATTAAATTCTTGCTGGGGAGAGTCATGTTCAGCTACCCCAAGCTTCTAGTTTCTCCATATTCAAAAAGGAAAGAAGTAATGATTTTTTCTTAAAATTGGATACAATATTCCCAAGTTTAAGTGTGTAAGCTTAAGACTTGGCTTCAAAACTGCTCCCTCCTAACAAAGGATTAAACCGGTGGGAATGACCGAAAAATGGGAAAGCCTCAGGCAGGAAGAACTTTAATTTGCAATGTAATCAGTGTGAGGAACCCAGAGACCAGCCAGTACAACACAAACACCTCACTCCCAGGCATCCTGATGTTCTTACCAGTCTCTGCCACAGCGTCTTCTACTGCAGGGGCAGGTGCTGCCTCCTCCTCCTCACACAGCCCATTCTGGTGGTTGTGGGTGCTGTCGAAGTAACTGGTCTGAAGGATCCGTTCAACCACCTCCTTCAGGGCTTTGTCTAGGAAAGTGCAAGTGTAAGATTAACACTAACCCAATCCTAATCATCTCTGCCTTCCTTCCCTAAGATCACAGAAATTTTACTACCCTTTTGCTGGGGAGATGTTGCTGTCCCAAGCTAATGCACGACCACTATTGTTACAGGACTTCTTACTAGGTTACATTAAATAAATAACCCACTTTCTTAAGGGCAAGAATAACCTTAAGAGCACATAATACTCCTCAGAAGATTTGTGAAACACTTCGAAGTGTTGTTTTTGTTGGTTTTTTTTTCTTTTATTCCTGCTATTAAAAAAATCATCTCTGGTTCCTTAGTTTTCAGTTTGGAAAGTTTTCAGAACTCACTGAACTTTCAACTGTCTCTGACTTGTTTGTAATTTCCTCATTAAAAAAACATTACTGTAAAACAATTTCTTACAAAACAAATTTACACAGGTACCATCTTTGTGAAGGGTCTTCCCATGTGGTGAAGTGGTTCAAACCAGCCTTTGAAAACAAAACCACTTTCATTCAATGCCTTAGATGAGTGGTTGGGCATCTTAACCCAAAAGAAACCAGCCACACTGGCAAGGCAGCATTACTGGAGATTACTGTGGAGATTTTCATTTCTGCAAAAAAGCAGCCTACTGGCATGATCACGCCCTGGTCTGCAGAGTTCATCAATGAAAATATGGCAAAACCAGAACGCTTTCCGCAGGAGCCAAGGGAGAGAGAACATCCCACTAATGAAGGCCATTAAAGTTTATGTATTAGATGTTATTGACAAAGCTCCTTGTTCTCACACAGGTTTCCAGAAAACAAAGAATTGCTACTAAGCACCACCAGCAGTAGAATACTGCTGAAACAGCAGGTTAAATACTGAGTAACGCTGTGTCAGGATGAAAAAAATACACTACACAGTGAGCCCACACTTCAGAAGTTATTGTTAGTTCAGCCAAGATCTGAAAAAAAAGCAGTTACTCTAAAAACTCACAAAGATAAGCAGATGTCTAAGTTCTCTTATATCAGAAGTGTATTGTAATTCAAGCACAAATTCAGTGTGCTGTCTCTCTTCATACTGAGGCTACACTTACAGGTTGTTCCACAAACTGGTTTTTCTTTCCCTTCCAGTAAGTCCCACAGGTGAACAGATGCTTGCTCATACTGCTCATTCAACCTTAAAAAATAATTAGTAAGAGTTAATTTCTTACTAAATCTTTCAATTACTACAGTAAATACATGAGGTGACTGACAATTAGAAAGAAAAGCTCTTTGCTGTAACCCTACCTCACGTTCATGTCTCGTTCAGGGTAAACTAGCTTGTAGAACTCATCCAGCATTGTGAGCTCCTCCTCTGTCAGCACTGGGACCCCACTGGAGCCTTGTTTCAAGTCGCTGCGAACTTCATCGTCCCCCAGCTTCTCCAGAATGAACTGCAGCTCCAGCACAGTCTTTAAACGCTTCTGCTCAGCCTCCTCCCGCATCAGCTGCTCCCTGCGAGCTGTCTTCTTTATTGTCTTCTGGATCTGAGGGATCCCAAGGAAAAAACAGATTGGAAATGGCTTTTATTGCTAAGAAAAGGTACAGAGATATTCACCATATCCCATGATAGGAGGAGGGATTCATTGGAACAACCAGGAGAGCAGCTTAAAACAGAGAAACAAAAGTATTCTTCGTTTTTTCGTGTACCACAGGAGGGAACTCATGGAATGTTTTGCCATGAAAAGCTGGGGAGATAGATGGGATCAGCCAGTTCAGAAAGGGTTTAAAGAAATTCTTGGACATGAGGTCCCCAGTCAGACACTACAGAGAACAAATCTGCATCTACCCTGGCATTCTCACAGATGCTGGAAGGGAGTGGATGACAACCATCAACCCTGTGCTCTGCACTGAACCTTCTAAACCTGCAGTCACAACACAGGTCTTAAATGCAACACTAGCCTGAACCTACAGGATGTTTCCTCTATTCTTAATCTAAGTATCCCAAATTCAGCTTGTTTCCTTTTTTGCTTAAATCTTCTCTTTCCAAAAATGTAGTTTGTGACAGTAACTTTCTCTCTTTGAAACATCTACATTTCTTTTTTAACATCAGAGACATATCTTAAAATCAACTGCATGAAAACTAACTACAATCAGGAAAAACTGCAACCAAGTTTGAAAGCAGAGCACCAATTTGGGTTCACTGACTGCTGTCAGCTGACCAGGGAAATACCTCAGGACAAACTTGTCCAGAAAAGACAAGTTCTCCATTACTAACATTCCATAAACATAGATGGAACCCTCATGCAAGAAAAGCAAAGGAACAGTTTGGCTTAGAGTCCTACAAATTTACAGCCAGAACGAATGGAGAAAGCTGTTTGTAACACGTGGATGCTGATGCCCTTCAAATTATCACGTAGTCTGTTCACAAACTAAATACACTCGTTAGACCAGTCTGCTGCACTAACACCCACTGCACAACCAATTCCTCCAGTGTTTCTGCTCTTTCCAAAACTTTTTAGAACTGAATTCTTGATCACACCTATTCTGCATCCTTGATGAAACACCAACCCAAAAGATTACTCATTTTACTAGTGTTCAGTTCATTTATGAAAATAAGATTAATCTTGTCTCAGACTATAGTTTCAGACTATTTGCAACTAACAAGACAGGAAGAATCTTGTAAAAAAGGAAATGCAATGCTTTCAAGTGCTGAGACTACACCATGTGGTAAATCAAGAAATGAAAGCCCTCAGTCACCTGGCAGAGTCAGAAGCAGGCCTGTGAAATCCCTTCTTTAAGAAAATTGGCAGCAAGTGACCACCTATAACATTGCATGACAGACCTGTTCTGTGATCCCACTGTTTTCAACACTTATTTTTCTGTCAGAAAATTATGTCATTATTCTTGTTTCCATACATTTATTTAGTGCATTAGGAAAATCTTTTAGAAATCATCTTCAGAAAAACTGACACCAACTAATATATAGAATAAAAGAGTCAAACATACAAGAAACCATGACCAATTAATCTCTGTAAACAGAGGTGACTACTGACTGCACCAGTGAAAAGGAGTTTAAAGCCCAAAGGTTTGGAAAACAAACATGGCATGGCTTGATCTTTACTTACATCTTGGCTCAGAGCCATGAAACTCCTCTGCAGTTCTTTAGCAAATTCCAGATTATTTGTCACTTCCTGGTATTTTGACACTGCATCCTTAAAAAAAACCCAGAGAAAACCACAAGTAAATGTAAATCATCACAAATAGAAAAAAAACCCCACAGACTTTTAACAAATAAATCCCCACATTTTTAGTTTCTAAGTGAGACACAGCATCCCTGAATGGGACTGCAACTATGGTAAGTAAAATTTTGATTTTCCTGGGCTTTCTCAAGTCTGGCAGTCAAGATATTGCCCTCCTAAAACTTAATCATGAGCATCCCTCCTCAACATGACACGTCAGTTCTCTGCCCTGCTCCTCAAACAGCAACCTTTATCTTCACAAGATGCCATTACAAAACAAAAAAACACAGATATTTCAGTTTTCAGCTGGCACAGAAGGGCCCAAGTGAGGAAGCCCTGGCAGATGAAAAGAGCACATGGACCAAGGGAAGCAGCTCATAATCTTTTAAGTGTCAACAGCTGCAATAGCTACAAGTACCTTTTTTTTGCTTCACTTTCTCAGTGTTAAAAATCATCAAGAAAACACTGTTGATTACTGAGCATCTGGCAATCTCTTCAAGTATCAATATGCATGTTTGCATCACACAACCGAATTTAAATTCTTATTTGTTCTGTATTTACAACAACTGCAAAACTGCTGTTGAACTGAGCTCTCCAAAAACCTACTTTAAGAACCAGCCCCAACAAGAAGAGAAGCAGCACAGAGCTCATCTAGAGCTCCACATCTGCACTGAGAGCTGGGACAGACACACAGACAGAGCTTATTATTGGTCTGAGCTGCATCTCTAACTAAACTACACAGGGGAAGTGAAATCCATCCCTTCCCTCCCGTGCAAGAACACAGAACAATTTAACAGAAATCTGGACAGTATTTTTTTGTTCTTGTTTTTACCAGTTGATCTTGATTCAGACGTTCTCCCTTGTTCATTCGTTCCTGGTAATCATCAAGTTTGCTCTGAAAAGCAAGAAAAACACTGTTATGAAGAGTCTAAATCCAGTTACTGCCTTTTTCTACTTGTGCCAACAGAATTATGTACTGTAATATTCCAGTAAACAGAGTAATACCTAACACAAGCATGAAACTGTCATGTAAAAAGACCACCAAGAAAAACTGTCTTCTGGGTTAAAAAAATATAAATACTTCCTAAGGGATAAATATTTTAACCTTTATTTGGTTATCACAGTATGTCTTCATGACTAGAGTAATTTCTAAGGAAATACACATTCCTGCCAAAGGGAACACCGCTCTCATACACATTTCCTTCAGTCTAAACATCAGAGAGCTGAACTGAGGTCTGAGTTAGAGCTCATTACCACTGTATCTCTACACCACCAAAAACATGACTGCAAACCTCCACTGTCAACTCTATTACAATTCAGAACTGTAATTCTCTGTAGTTGCATCAGTTAAAAGAGCTGTTAAGAATTCAAAATAGTTTCTGATCCTCTATGAAGAATGCCCACCAACACAATTCATATTAATAGCTCTAAAACAGTTTCCTTCAAGAGCATTAAGGATTTTTTTTTCTTCATGGGAAGAAACTGAAAAAGGAATCATTAGGCTAATTTTCAGCAGATCTAATCTGCTTAAATAGAAACTCATGCAGAACACTGACATGACCAAAAAAGCAGGTAAAACTCCTGCATGCCCAACACAGAGACTCTACAGGCTAAGGAGAAAGGGTCTTCAAAAGGAAGTAAAGTCTCTAAGAAGGATATACCTAATTATTAACCTGTTTTCATAATTTCTGTATTATCACACAATTGTATTTGGCATGAAATTTCCCTTGATCTAATAAAAAAGTTATTAAAATGAATTCTTAACTATTATCTTCCCAATCTAGCGTAACATGAAAAGTGAGAGGAACACCTAATTTTTGATGTGAAAGAATCAAAACCCTGATGCAACCACTGTTTTAGGGTTTATATTTCCCACTGAGTGACTTTTTTTTTGGTTTTGCTTTTGGCCTTTGTTTCATTTTACTGATAATTTTTTAGTTATTTCAACTTTTATGCTCAACCTCAGATCTTACAGAAAGCTCAAAGTCTGCCAAAGTTTACCAGAAAAGCCCCTCTTATAAGGTATTTGATGCCCAGCATCACTTGCTGAAACACAAGCACCCTTATGAGACTCAGGCCTTTTGATGTCACCTAAAGCCCAGATTATTTCTTTGGAAGTCCTACAGGTCAGATACAAAATTTAACTTCTTCATCTGATAGATGAAAGGCAAAGTCAAAGGAAGAACTTCCTGAGCTTCAAAAATATATTACTGGGAATTTCCTGCTGGGGACAGACACTACCTGGTAACAGTTGTTAAAGACAGCAGCCACAGTTCAAAACACATCAAAAAAGTAGCCCTGAAGAGCATTTGCCACATTGCAGATCTCCCACAACAGGAAGTAAGGTTAGTTTACTCCTCTCCACACTGATTTTAGAACAGATGCTGACATGGTTGGGCAATCACAGAACAGTTCTCATCATTTTCTGAGCCTGGCTGAACTGTGAAGCCAAAAGGGAGGGGAAAAGAGCTCCAAAGCAAAGCCAGGCTTACCCAGACCTTCCCTGCCTAAGGGGGCTTAAATCCTACAAAAACTGGCTTGCACACAAGGAAATGTTAAACTAAGCTCCTACTCGCTGGAGTCCCTGACTCCCCTGCTGCAGATCACGATTCCCTTGGTCACACTGATGCAATCGTTTGGGAGGCTGCACAGTAAACACACTGCAAGCACCAGTTTAAACAAGGTCTACAAAAATGCATTAAACAACCCCAACAAATTCTGTGAGCCAGTCTGCAATACAAACCCATAAACAACAGTAAAACAAACAGGGTAGAATATCATATTCCAGAACTCTACTTTGTTCGAGAAAACATATATTGCAAAATAATGCTGCAAAGCACTCACATAATCCATTCTGGTGGCTAAGGGCATGAGGGTGGGAAGAGACAAAAATCTCCTAAATAATTACAATTCCTGTATACTTTTTCCATGCTGCTGCATTTCAGCATAGCTGGTGTTTTCAGATTAAGATATTGCAGTAACATGTTTAACAATGCACAAGGTTTTCTTAAATGGTCAATTATTTAGAAATCTAATGTATATGCTTTGCTTAGTTTTATTCGAGTTAAAAACAAAGGAATAGAAGAAAAGTTACTTGTCTTCACTTGTTCTTCATTAAAAACATTCAGATGGGAAGGTAAAAGCAGAGGAAGGAAAGCCCTGTCAGCTGCAATGCAGAGGACAAGCAAATGTGCATTTAGTTGGACATTATCACAAAGATTTTGAACGCCAAGTAAGCATTTTCCTATCATCCCAAAGACACTCTGAGATCCAAAGGCTGCATTACACACAAATATTAAGCAAAATGCCTCTTTTTTAATCTCTACCAGCAACCTAAGAGCAGCATTAGTGCTGTAAAATAACTGCAGTAAAATTCCTCCTTAGCAACCTACTGCAGTGCCTGCAAGAGGGGAAGATTTTCCTGATTTTACCCCCTTACAGAACCTCACCCTCACTCACTCAGATAGAGATCTCCAAGCATAAAAGCTAAACCAGTAGAAAAAATAATAATCCAGTGGTAAAGTGAGCACATATATTGTGTATTGAACAGCTCATGAGTCAGCAGCTCCCAGTTGTACAGGACGCAAGCCACCCTGCTCCAGCTTTTTCCACTGAGAAAACTCAAGAATTCTGGAGTTTCCTGGGAGAAAAGCACTACAAACAGGCTCCCAGGGGCAGGGGGAAGGTGCTAGTGCTCCTTGCTTAACTATGCCCTGGATTTTACTTGAATAGGAATCCAAAATTCAGTTACTTATTGTGGCAACAGACACCTTCCCCTCACACCCAAGTTCTCTTTACCTCCCCTGAATTGCCTCAAAAATGTCATCCTGAAGTGAAAACAAAAAAATGCAGTCCCATAACATTACCTTTCAAACCAACAGTGGTTTTAAAAATGCCTGACCACTCAGCTGTGCTTGTACAGTCATTTACAGTGCTGTGCTCTAAACTGGATCACTGGAATCATCAGATTAAAAATAACCCTCAAAAAAGGGGGTCAGGAGCAGGAGGGAGGCTCTATATTTAACCAGATAATTTCAGTGATATGGTTATAGCAATGACAGCAGCACAAGTGTGTGTGACAAGGTGCTAGGGGACAAGGTAACCTCTTCAACCAGCTGGAGTGACCCTTTTGTAATGCAAAGTTCACTACAAGCAAAGAAAAGATGAAGGGGACATTGTAAGCCTGTTTTCTGAGATACCTCAAAACCTGCATGGATGCTTTTTTGACAGTAATGGAGATAATCCAAAATTTAAATTAGCTGTGTAATACATTTTGCACTGAAACAAAAGAAAAGCCAAGTTACAAACCAGAAGTTTATTAACCTGTTTTACATCTGTACATTGTAATTTCTCTGCCTCCACCATCACCTTCACTCATTCATCTGTTTAACTTTGCAGCAAAAACTGCCCAGAAACGACCGAGTGAAACCCCAAAACCAAATCAGTTTTCCCATTGCCTCAAAAAAATAGGCAGGGAAAAAAAATCAAAAAGGTAAAACACTTAAACCGTATCAGTTTAATTAAACATGAAGTTGAGAACCTCTCAAAACCCACCACAGTTCTCACACTCACCGTCTGGATACAATTTCTAAATACATACACCCAGCCCCCCCAACAAGTCCTGAGAAGCTGTTTCAGTCCTGAGTTACAACCAAGATGTAAGGATGCAAAAACACCACTACTCCAGAACACAAAACATTTACAGGTCTCCTGGTTAGACTGAATTTATTTTTGAAATAACAGCTGTAGATGCTCTTATGTTTTTTTTTTCCCCAAAGTCTGGTAAGTTTGACAGCTGAGGAAAAAATACCTCCACTCTGTATTTGTTTGAGACTGCAGTTTCATGAGCAGCTTACCCCAGAGGTAAAAAAAAAAAAAGCTTTCTCAGTTACCAGAATTAAATCAGAGGAGTGGAACTCCAAGCTTTGATATTCTTTCCAAACAACCATCATACTGCATTTCCTACAGAAACTAGGAATCTACAGGGAAGTTGACTACACTGCAAGAGACCTGGATTTTGCTCTAAGCATTATTTATGTTCAAAATAAATTGCTTTTACAACAGGAAGTGAGTTCTAGAACACAAACAGGGCTCTAGAACACAAATGGGGCTCTCCCAACACATTGTGTGTCTTTTTCTTCTGAAAGAAAAAGCATCAACAAAACATCAAAGCAGCATCTGAAAACCTTTAACCAGAATGTGTTTCACAGCTTGGAGGACTCACCATGTATCCAGTTAACACAAGTTGCTGTGAGACAAGTTAAAAACAAAACAGACCACACTGAAACCTGGAAGCACCAACCACCACATGATTTCACAGATAACCTGCCTGGATTTTCACACATGAAGCTTGATAACCAAAGTTGCTGTCAAGAGAGGTTTCAAAGATTCGGGCTTTCAATATATGATTTCAAACAAATTTTACAAATCTGTTTCAGAGTAATATTTAATTTCTAAAGATAAATTCCAAACCAAGCTTCACAAGGAGAGCTGCTGGAGACACTCATGTGCCTGGAACATCCAAGTGGCCCAAATAGTGGTCAAAAGCACTTCAGAAAGTTGCTACCAATGGGCAATTCAAGTGTGGCACTTCCTGCCACCATTAACTGCACCTACAACGGTGGAAAACTGATCCCAGCTTTTACTGGAGGTTGCTGTTTCCCATGGGAAATAACACATTTTATTGAACCAAGTCAGATCAAGTCAAATATCCTCTGCTGCTACATGAGAATTCCTGCATAGTAACGACAGCAGCACTTGTTAACTCCTCATTTTCCACCCCAGTAAGGGTTACACTCAGTAGGAAATTCAGTCAGGCTGATAAAGCAACAGCAGCTCAAGTTACCAGCCCCAACCAACACGGGCCATCTTTCCAACTTTGTTGGGTTTTTAAAGATCATGTGCTTTACCTCATATTTACAGCTGCCCAAGACTAATCTCTTGTGAACACCTGCCCATACCCCAAATCACGTGTTAGCAATAATTGTTTTGCCCATTGGGCAGAATATTTGTTTCATCAACTGTTCTTATACAGCTCATGCTCTGTGACACAAGGTGAAAGCAAAAATAACTGGGTTTTTCTTTTTTCCATTCATCACTGGTACAAAACCCAAGTTCAACCTACATTCATTTGGCTTGGAATTTGAAAAGGTTTTTCCCTCTAAAACAAAACAAAAAAAAAGGTGGGAAAAGAAGAAAATTATGCAGGTCTTAATGAAGTATTTTTCTTCTAGGCAGGATTGTAACCTCAGACACCCAACAAACACTGGGAGGAGTTCAGGCAACTTTTAAATTAACTGAGTTTGTCAACATATACTCGAGTTGCAGGTTTGAATCTTCCATAGAGAAAATATCCCTTTGACTACCCCCTTCCATGCACACACAAATATCCTGTCATCTAAGAAGAGGAAGAACGCAGGAGAGCATTCCTATCATCTCCAAATACAAAGCCGTGAGGGGAACACAGACATTATCAGGTCATGTTTTCACATCCATTTATGAACAGCAATTCAGTTTACCCTGGTCCCTTTTTATGTAAGCAATACTCATTCTTTAAATGAGGTCACTTTTAGGAAAAGAAAATGAAAGTGTAACTAATAATCTTGTATTTAGAGTTTATACAGAAACATTCAAAATAGTATAGAACAAAGCTATAAATATTATTTCACTTTATGTATTGTATTTTGGTGCTCATGCCATTTTATCCTCAGAGTTTAGAGGGAAACAGGACACTAAATTTAATTCAAAAATTCTATTTTCTTCATAAAGGGTGACTTTTCCTCAACTAAAAGCTACACACTCACATGATCTTAAAACGTAAGATGGTCCCTCTTACAGAGCAATCATTTTACATCCCTCAGAAGGATGGGTCTAACTCAACTATATTTTTGTATTCATTCTCAAACACAAAGCTCTCAAAAATTCTCTCTTCTGGCCTTCATTATAAGCTGCTGAGAAAGAAAGGATTAAATGTTTACCTAAGCACAAGTTTCAGTGAGATTTACTGGATTTCTCATCTGTGCAGCATCCACTGTAATTTTACTTCCTGAATGGTTAAAAAAATATATACTTGTCCAAAGATTCAAAATAAAGGAAAACAAATGAATTTGTGTACACTTACCAAGAAGTAAAATAAAAATAATGAGGCCCTCATGTACAACAGGCTTTGTTTTAGGACACAAAGCCCTCAATACTCTTTAATAAAAAACACTGATTTACTACAAAACTCTTGACTGAGGAATCAAAGTAGAGGCTCAAGCCCGAAAATTTGTAGTTCTGTTTAACACACCAAGAACTACTGACTTCTGTAGTGCTTATCTGAGTCCTAACTCAGTAAGTTTCCCAACTTCAGCCCATTAAGACTTAGGAGTCTTTAAACTTTAATTCATCCCTGTGAGATCACATCCAGGTTTCCAAGACCCAGCCATTTCCTCCTCTTTAAGCCCACATTGCCTAGCACAGAGTACCCCCAAACTGCCTGAAGTAATTTTAAAGGAACATCTTCCAACAGAAGCCATTTCCAGGAAAAAAGGGCACTTTGTCCCCTTTATTCACTTGCTGTGACACTACATTTGTACCATGGAAGTTGACTAAAAGTCCACTCAGAAAGGAAGGGTTAAGCCAAGTGTAAATTAGGTGTAAATTATTTATTTTCAAAGGTACATAAAAAACTGCTGCTCCCAAGGAAAGCTGACCCCCTCACCAATAACACTGGGCTTATCCTCTTGATTACTTCAAAGGACAGAATGCTCACCTACTAATTTCAGTTTTTAAAATACACATTTTTAGCACCATATAAGACATTTTCAGAGAATTTTTGAGCATGTTGGCTGCAACAGTAATTTCAATCCATTTTTTTTGAATTGAAACAGAGACATAAAGATCTGCTCCCTTTCTTGAGCTGAGGACCAGTATTATGTGTGCACATATCCACACGTATTAATAACAAGTTTAAAACACAGATGCCGTCCTGTGTACACACAACAGTATTCAGACAAAGATCTAAAGCTCCTCCTACTCCAAATTTATCTAAGAGCTCCTGGCTTGCTGGTTTTGGTCGTTTCATTATTAAAATGTAGGAAAATCCCCTGCTGATTTTTTTTAAGTGGGAAGCTACACTACACAGCGTCTTTGTAAGTGTATTATTTATACACAGTATATTATTTACATACAGTGTATTATTTACAGGTAAAGCACAGCTTGTTTCATTTACAACTCACCTGTACACACTGTTTTACTTCTAATATTCCCCCTCTGAAAATACTTTATATGATGCTAAAAATGTGTATTTGAAAAACTAAAATTTGCAGGTGAACATTCTGACCTGTCCTTGGAAGTAAATCAAGAGGATAAGCACAGTGTTACTGGTGTATCAAATACTAGTTTGGGCTACTACGACCAAAAGTGCTAGTTAAAAGAAAAAAGGAGAGTTATTTTGCCTGTTTACTTCTAAAGATAAAAATAAAAATAGGGCTATGACACAAATTATTTTTCAGTATGAAATTATTTTCAGACACGAAATCATTTTCCACCAATCCCTAATTTCAGCTTGGCAATGTGGTGTTTCGAGGCGAGTCTTTGGGCTCTGTGTTAGTTATTTTACTGACGGGCAGCTCTGTAGGTTGGAAAGCCCTCAGAGGTTTAACGTGGAGCGCTGGCCCAATGTAAAACATACTCGACACGTCCAGGACCCCATTCCTAAAAATAAGGCGTTGCAGGCGGGCCGAGGCCGGCGGAGGGCCGGGCTGAGGGCGATGGCGGGGCGGGGTGGGCTGTGAGGGCTTTGTGAGGGCGGCACAATGAGCCGGGCCGGGCAGGCCGGGCCGCCGCCATGTTACAGCTCCGCTCCATGTGCCCGCCCCGGGGCACCGCTCCCGCCGGGTTCCTCCATCCCGAGCGCTCCATCCGCCGCACGGAGCCCGGATAAGGGGAGCGGCGCTGGGAAAGGCCTCGCCGCCGGGAACAAAAGGCGGAAGGAGGGGGAAGGGAGCGGCGCCGCTGAGGGGGATCCGGGCGGCGGCGGGGGAGGGAGGGAGGGAGGGAAGGCAGGCGCGACTCCTTCCAGGCTGTGCCGAGCGGGGCCGGGCCCCGGGGCAGCGGGACCCCCGCGAGAAGGGGACAGGCCAGGGGAACGGCGATCGCCCTTCTGGAACCTTCCAGCAGGCGGCCTCTGGGGGCCACGCCGGGAACAACCCGGGAGGGCTCGGCGGAGGGTCCGACACAAGGGAACGAAAAGGAACAGGCCGGGGCAGCTCCGAGGCCAGGGGCGGACAGAACGCGGTGGGGGGAGTCAGAGGGGGACACGGGGGAGCACCTTTTTCTTCTCCAGGTTGCGCAGCTTCTTGTCGATCACCCCCAGGATCTGCTTCATGGCCTCGGTCTGCACCGTGGTGATGTTCACACCCGCTGCCGCCACTGCCTGCGGGGCCGCCGCCGCCACCGCCGGGGCGGCCTCGCTGCCCGGCGCGGCTTTGCCGGCGCCACCGCCGCTGCCGCCGGTGGTGCTGCTCGCCATGGTGCTGTTGGTAGCCGAGGGCATCTCTGTGAAAGGAGAGACAAGAGGAGCGGAGAGAGAGAGAGCGGCGGGCGCGTCACGGGGAGAGGAGGAGGAGGAGGAGGAGGAAGAGGGGAAAGGAAGAGCGCGGGAGCGCGCGCGCGCGCACGCGGCCCCCGGGGGGGGGTCTCGCTCGCGCGCACGAGCCGCACCTGCCCGCCCCCCCCGGGGCGCTCGCGGGGCGGCGGCGGCGGCGCG